GGATGGCCCCAAGCGCTCGATGATCCAGTGTCGCAGCCTTACTTTTCTCGAAAGCAAGAACTTTCTGTTGACCGAGGCTGTGTGTTGTGGGGTTTACGTGTGGTTATTCCTGAGAAGTATCGTGTTCGTCTGTTGGATGACTTGCACCAAGAGTATCACGGAATCTGGCGAATGAAGTCGCTGGCGAGGGGTTATTTTTGGTGGCCGAGATTGAATGCTGCGATTGTTGAGAGGGTTCAGCAATGTCATGTTTGTGCTGCCTTCGGCAAGTTTCCTTCAAGGGCACCACTATACCCTTGGAAATGGCCTGCTAATCGATGGGAGCGTATCCACATTGATTTTTTTGAGAAGGGCAAGTTGAATTTATTGATTGTTGGTGATGCCTATACCAAGTGGTTGCAGGTGATCCTCATGGGTTCCATGACCAGTTTGAAAACCATCTAGGTTTTGCGCTCGTTGTTTGCACGTTACGGAATACAGGAAGAGGTGTTTTGGGACAATCGGCCGCAGCTAGCATCGGAAGAGTTCTCTCAATTCCTGAAGCAGAATGGAGTCAAGTTTACCCGGGTTCCACCGTACCATCCTGCATCTAATGGAGCTGCTGCACGTTCTGTACAGACGGCCAAGGCGGTTTTGACCAAGCACGTGCTGGATGGCAAAGCAAATTCCCTCAGTCTGGAGCATAGGCTGGCCAACTTTCTTATTTTGAATCGTAGCACACCTCACACTGTGACTGGGTAATCTCCCGCTGAGCTGTTTCTGGGACGACAGATTAGGAACTGTTTCACATTACTGAAACCCAACCTTAACAGAGCAGTGGAGGAGCAACAGTTGAGGCAGAAAGAGCACCACGGTGAAGGACGAGTGAAACTCCAAGAGTTCAAGTTGAATGAAGTGGTCTTGGTTCGTAATTGGCGGCGTAGCGTTGAAAGGTGGATCCCTGGAAGGATCACTCAGGAGAAAGGTCCGCGCACTTACCTAGTTTGCTGTGAGGATCAAATACGATTTGTT